CACAGAGCTCAGAGGAAGTTCGGCTATTTGTTTCTGAGCAGAAAAAAAGTAAAGTGAGAGTTTGCTTCTATGCAGAATATCATTGCTGACTCAAGAGGACCAAATGCAATCACTAGGAGGGTATGGGAGGAGAGACAGCATGCAGCCAGCACTATATATTTTCCAGCTGGAGAAAGGGGCTTCTAAACACTTGGTACCCAGTGAGTGGGAGTCAGCAAAAGTGTCTACAGCATTCAGCCTTTCTGTGCCTCCCAAGTCCTGCAGGGCTCACAACATCTTTCCTACTGCGGCTTCCCATCAGATAGACCAGGTCAGCAGTTCCCAATCCTCCTAACTGCCACCCTTTAATACAGTTCCTCATGGTGTGGTGACCCCCAGCCATGAAATCATTCTTGTTGCTGCCTCATAACTGTAATGTTGCCGCTGTTATGAATCGTCATGGAGACATCTGATATGCAGGATTTCTGAAATCCCGTGAAAGGTTCTGTTGACCTCAAAGGGGTCGCTACCCACGGTTGAGAACCATTGGCCTATGTGGCTTGCAATGGCCTCTGTCCTTACCATGTGTCTTTCCTGCTGGACTGAGACACAGACGAAGAGAGAAAGAAGAGCCCATAACAGACCTTCACTAAGAAAGAGCTGGCAGCCCCAGCAGCACTCAGGAGACTGAGGCAGGAGGATTACAAGTTTGAGATCTTATGCCAACACAGGGTGAGGGCTGTTAATCATCTTTAACCAGTTCCAAAACTGATTTTAAACTTGGATGCTGGGGCCTGAACCATGCGGTTTAAATGGAGCCTGAGTCGTATGGCTTAGATGGAGCCCGGAACCATAATGGCCCTTCACCAGGTTTGGTGGAAGGAGACATCAGAGAGGTACCGGGGCCCCACAGATGCTGGCCTTCTACCCAAGTATAAGTTATCCGTAGCCATTCAGACATATTCAGAGACTGAGCGATGACTAGGATGCATTGGTGTGCACCAGCAGTGTATTGGGTTTCTAGGCGTTTCCCCAAACTCCTATAGAGCAGCAATACTATGTATAGTGACTAGGTTTGCCTTGGCCTCTGATGACACCCGTAAGAGTGGCTGGGTCCTGGGAGGGATGGGGGAGGTTAGTGATAAGATGGTTCCATGACTACTGAGTGTGCAGACCTCTAGTCCAGTAGCCACCAAATGTCACAGGCAGGCCAGGCTATAGGTCAACACAGCTTGTCTGTATCTAAACCAGAAACCATCCTATGAGTTGTCTACTGTCCTTCAAAGACATCTCAGTCGGAAGACGTAAAGAAACAGGAAGAAGGAGGGAGGGGACAGGGAGCCTCGAGACCACTGGGAGAACAAAAAGCCAGGATTACATGCTGTGACCTCTCTAGAGAAAGGAGGGCTGAGTTTGCCCTGCCCCCCCTCCCCCGTCCACCCTGACACCTTCTGGAACACAATGCTCTGGTTCCTTGAGTGGCATCATCCCAAGTGTTCCTTACCCTCACCACCCCAGGAACCAGTCCAGTCCTCAGGACAATTCCACCAGAAAATAGAGTCCTCTGTGAGCCTTGGGATGCTTTGTCACAGCTAGTTGGGAAGGGACAAAGAAAACTGAAGAAGGTCTTGGGGATGGGGGTCTCCCTGTGGCCTGGACTGTTAAGTCACCCTCCAGCATGTACACCACGTACGTCCTCTGACCTCCCTGATCCTCTGGTCTCCCTGGGTCGTCTACTGTGTGATCTCAGGGGCACTGCTGGCACAGACTTCAAAGGAGCATGCCTTTCATGTACCTAGGGTGTTTTGGGGTTGCTAATGAGCAAAGGAAAATTGTCCATTCAGGGAAAGACCTAAGCATATGTGCAGAGGTCAGGCAGGCTCACCCAGCCTGGACATTTATGGTATGTGAGGGGAGCTGCAGTTCCTGGCAGTGGCTTCCTCCCTGGGTGGAGATTTGGGTGAAAGGAAGCGCTGAATCATGACAAGGTCAAGGTCAGGAAGGGAACAGGCGAGACCTACAGCTGGACCTGCTCGTTGAAGGGACAGTGACGTCGCTGCCTAAAAGGCAGAACCCAGTGCAGAGTCTGGGTCCAAGCCACAGACTCACAGTAGTTAGGAGAGTCCCTCAGACACAGTCACACTGAACTCTCCTCCTCCACACCTCCTCCCCTAAGAGCACTGTGTCCTCTGCACTTTGTGACATGGTATCACCACAGTCCACAAGTCTCTGTGCTGGCTTCTTGGCCAGAAAGTGGCAGGACAACCCAAGCCCACAGAACGCCACCTTGGATAAACAAGCCATACCCAGCATGCCGACGGAACCGGACACGTGACCGACATCAGAACAGCAGAGGTTCACCCAGACGGCACAGGCACGTCACCCTGTCCCCTGTGCTAGTGTCTGTCTGCCTCTGCAGCCTTCCCGGATGCTTGTTCTGTGTGGCTGAGTGTCTGGTTCAGGTGGACCCGTGAATGTTGCTCCTGGGACAATGCCAGGGACCTGTGTGCTTTTGGCTCCCTGGCTCCCAGACCTCTCGGAATGTTCGGGAGAAGACATTGGGGACGGGGTAACACTGGTGGCGTTTTCCGGTGGGAAAGCAAGAGTTCCTGGTTTTGAAGGGATGGCACGGCACTTGTCTGGCAGGCTCAAGACCCTGGGTTTGAAATCCACCAAACCAAACTGCTCTGTGAGAGCCCATCCCCTCCCTCCCAGGCTGAAGGTGTTTGAAGTTTATCAGTTTCCTCTTGCTCCTAGATCTGCCGTGCTGCCAGGGGTGACATTTCCTGGCTTTTGTGGGACTGTGGTGCAGTCTGTGTTTTGAAAGGACAGGAACATAATAAAAACGGATATGAAAGAAGGGACAGATGACATCACTCAGAATATCTGAGGAAGTCCACTCTTGGATGTTTATAGACCCAGCACGTTAGTTGTTTGTGTTTGATAAGGGTGCTTTGGATACATCCAGGGAACTGCTCAGTAGTCATGAGTTTTTAACTTGGGCTCATGGTAATACATAGAAAATAGGGGTGTTGGCTTGGGTCCCCAAAAACCCTGACTTATTAGTTGACCTTAGGGACAAGGTTCAGCAGTTAAGCCACACAAACCATGCTTGAGCCAGATCTCCATTAGCTATCTGCAGACTTGTGAGTGTTATATGCAGGCCACTGGATGAAAAATTAACACCCTTGTCCCGTCCGTCTCCAGAAACAGTAAGCTCTCTGGATGACCAAAATGTCACCTGCTCTGAGCTCTGGGCAAGTAATGGCCTGGCCTTGCCCCTCGGTGGGTGGGAATTAACAAAGATCAAGGCTTGAACATGGAGGCCTCCTGCCTCAGCCAGTCCTGCCCAGACACTCTCTTGGGTTCTTCCCCTTTCGAGCTCATAGCAGGATGATAGGTTCTATGTGTCTGGAAAATGACGAGACTGGAGGACAGGGTGTTTCTTGCGGAGCTTTGGGGCTGACGTACCTTCCTGTAAATGTGGCCTGATTCACAGCAGGCTATATTCCTTGCTGGGAGATGGACCACCTGGCCACCCCAGGCAGGGCAAAGACACCAGGCATCTGTATGCAAGGCGCCCCTTTGAGGATGCAAAGCTGGAAACGTCACGTGTGTTCATTCGTGTGCCAGTTCAGGGGAGCAGACAGAAATAGCTCCTGGAGTTTCACGGCCCTAGCGCAGACCTTCTCAACACGGGCTCCTTCCTGAAACTGTGCATTTGAACTCTGATCAAGCCCCGTCAGTAGGTTCAGCAGACAAAGCCTGGTCTAAGCCAACCCAGGGACAACTTGGTGTATAGGATAACACTGGGTTCTAAGGATACAGCCAATGAGAATTAAACTAAGCCAAGCCCTCCACATAGAGGTGAGGGGACAAAGAGAATGGGAATCAAAGGTGACTGTTGCAGGGTGCCTAGGGAGATGGCTGAGTGGTGATAAGTCCCTGTGATCCCAGTGCTGGGAAAGGGGAGACAGGAAAATCCTTGGTGTCCTCCCCAGTCAGTCTAGCAGAATTGGTAAGCTCCAGTGTCAGGGAGAGACCCTGTCTTTTTTTTTTAAATCATTTTATTTGCATCAGTGTTTTGCCTGCATGCATATCTCATGCGAGGGTGTCAGACATGGGAGTCACACAATTGTGAGCTGCCATCTGGGTGCTGGGAACTGAACCTGGGTCCTCTGGAACATCAGTCAGTGCTCTTAACCACTGAGCCATCTCTCCAGACCCTAGAGACCCTGTCTTAAAATTTGAAGTAGAAAGTGATTGAGAAAGACACCAACATCAATCTCTGGGCACTTGTACATACACGCATGTGTACCTGCATATACATGTACACACCAACGCTTAGTGGCGTGTCTGCATGGACGATTCACATAACAGTGCTAGCACGCTACACACACTGGACATGTCTGATGGGCACTCTCGCCCTGACCAACAGACCCTCCCTCCTACAGTTCAGAGAAGACTATCCACAGGCCTTCCAGCTTAATGAGCAGACTGCTGGAATATGAGGTCACAACAAAGGAATCCTGAGTCATTACTCATGTGTGAAGTCATATACATGCCCTTCCAAACACCACCAGGGCTGATGACCTTGGCCAAGCAGACACAGGAGAAAAGGCAGAAACTACATCACAGAAGCCAGACAAGCTACGCTGCTGGTATCAGAGCTCTACCAGCCCTGGGGCCCCTGTGACACAGACAGGGTTTGCAAGGTGAAGCTATGCATATCAAGAAATGTAGCCTGCCCAGGCAAGGCCTCTGCCATTCCTTACATGCCAATACAAACCAAGGCACTCCGTGCCTGGACCAGTCTCCAGTGCACAGAACAGAAACGTTATTGTATTGTACAAAGTGTTGCTCAGTCTCTGCCATTCTGTTCTCAGATCTTTTGCAAAACGCATGGCCAGAGGGTAGTGAACCGAGCTCATCCGTTAGGCATATTCTCGGAGAGAAAGCAACTTCAAGGATGAAGCCACTTTCTTTTATGAGCTATGTTAAGTATTCGCTTCAGACCTATATGCCAACACCAACATGCACATTTTTATTCCTGGCCAGAGAACACTAAGAACTGACGTGCCATATAAATAATTCGAATTTAGTGTAGGTAGGCTGTGAGGTAACGCCTTATTAAGTGGTGTCTTGGTAGACTGTGTCTCTCCGGCTGAACAGCGCATATACAGGAGAACATAAATATTCAAGAATATCGATTCCGGATCTAACGTGTGACACTACTGAGACACCTTCTCCCTGTAATTACATCTCTAGCCTCCGGGATGAAGGCTGACTCATCTCAACACTGAGACACAACAATACGCCTCGGGCGGGCTACAGCTTGACCATAGTCAACAGCCCGCATAAGGGATCTTCAATGGGGGCCGGTTTCCTTCTCAACGCCTACCCAGCAAGTGCGAGAAAGCATGAGTTGTTGCGTGGTGTCTTCTGTTTGGTCTAGCTCCCGTGAGGGCAGACTCCTGGGAGCTGAAGGAGGAGGTCACACCCAGGAGCACACAGCAAATCTGCGTATGGCATCCAGTCCCGAGGTCCTTTCTCTTGCCTCTGCCAGGACAGCCGCCCCGAGAGGCGCTTGCTGCTGGCTCTTCCCAGGTGCTGGGTCTCCTGTGCGCACACCACCACCTTCCACACACACACACACACACACACACACACACACACACACACCTTCTCTCACGCCGTGCCTGTGCTTTTCTTGACAAAGCGCTATTTTTAGCTTGTTGGGAGGTTACCATGTCTTTTAAGCTCTGCTATTACTCCAATTGGGTTGATTTTATTAGAGCCCAGAGTCAGAACGGCAGAGCACGCGCTGCCCAGCACTTTTTCCCGTGTGCCTCGCTAGTCTTGCTGTGTGCAGCAGCCCGTGAGTAGCTTTCAGACGCAGTCGTGTGGTGCGTTGTAGCAGAAGTCCCTGTGCCTGAAACGGACACTGTCAGGATGGGTGGTGAAGCCAGTGTGGTCCGATTCCCTTTTCCCCCAGAAGGAGTGGCTGTTCCAACTGAGCCTTGACTGCGCGTGAGTGCAGAGGACATTCCAGGCTGGGGAATGGAACAGTGTGTTCACGTTCTTCGGGAAGATGCAAAGTGAGGGGTGTTCATGCGAGGTGCCTTTAAAATCCTTGACATTCCATCATCGTGGGAAAACATGTTATGAAGTGTTCAGTTGTGTCTGGAAAAAGGGGAAGGAGACTTTGAGAGAGGAGACGTTGCAGAGCGGACGTGGTGGGTAAGAGGAGAGGCAAGGGCGTGGTCCCGAGGCCGGCAAGAGTGGAGGAGTCTGAGGGGGTAAACATGGAGCAGGCTTTGTCTTGTGAGCGGCGTGTGAGGTGACGCCAAACTAAAGGACTCTTACCAGAGTACCTACCAGCAAGGCGCGGCAGTTGGGACAATGTGAAGGGCAACAGTCTAAGAGATGGCGGGGACAGAAGGAGGTGGTTTCCAAAAATTGGCCCATTGATAGACCCAACAACAGCAACAACAAAACCTCTGGAAATCGGTGAAATGGCTTCAAATAGGAGTGATTTGTATCTGATCCTGTCATTTTCACTGTGTGTGCATACAACAGTGCCCCCGGGGACGGCCAGTGTGTGGGGGAGACCTCAGAATAATACCAGCTATGTGACAACATCAGCAAGAGGGGCCTTAAAACCAGTGCTTTGGGCCCCCCAGTGCTCTGAGGGACAGCAGCAGGAACTCTGTGCCTGCCTGACTATGCTCCTGGAAGAGCGGGTTTCCCCGGGAGGGGCTGAAAGGAAGGTACAGTGTGACTTGCTTCCAGCAGGACCAAAGGACACATTCTTGTTTGATGAGACTTTTGAGCTCCTCAGCTCTTGGAAGCAGGTAAACAAGACCCCACCCCGGTCCCATCCCCTAGCTCAGATTGGAGTTTGGCCATAGATTCACATATACACCCAAACTTCAATGAAAGTAAACCTTTAGTTGCCTTAGCAATTGACCATGTTGCCATAGTGATTATCAGGGGCAGGTAACAGGATGGATTTTAGGAAGTCAGGAGGAATTAGAAACGTAAGGATAGGCTGGGGAGATGATTCAGCAGCTAAGAGCACTTGGCTGCTCTAGCAAAGGACCTTGGTTCTGTTCCCATGACCCACATTGTGCAGCCCACAACCACTTGTCCCTTCAGGACCAGGAGATCTGACAGCCCTGACCTCTGTAGACATCTACGGTTGCATGCACTCACACAAACACACATACGCATCATTTAAAAAAAAAAAGAGATAAATACCCAGTGCCAGGCATGACAGAGCACACCTTTAATCCCTGCACTCGGGAGGCAGAGGCAGGCACATATCTGTGAGTTCCAGGCCAGCCTTGCCTACATAAGTGCCAGACCAGCTAAAGTTACATAGTGAGACCCTGTCTCAAAACAGAAACCAAAAAAACAAGAAAATAAACAAAACAAGACGTCCATGGACAACGGCATTCAGACTTTGGATGCCATGATGGGCTAGGAGAGAAGGCTCATCAGTTAAGAGTGTATACTGTTCTGGTAGAAGACCTGAGTTTAGTTCCCAACACCCATCCGTGTTAGGCGGTTCACAACCACCCACCACTCCAGCTCCAGAGAATCCTCTGACCACCATGGACTCCTGCACTCATGTACACACACTCCCATACATACACTCCTGAATACATGGTAACTGAAGATAACAAAAATCAGCTCTTCAGGAAGAAGATACCAGGTGCTATGGGAATAAATTCAGGGATCTCACACTGCAGTCGGAATGTCCCTCTGTGCCAGCTGCCACCTCCATTTCCAGCGCTTGCCCTGGCTCTGTGCTGGCTCTTTGGCCTGTTCCACCCTAGCTGGCCACACCTGTTTGGTCACCAACTTTGCCTCCTAACTCCTCCCCGTGGCCTCTCCCCAGGTCGGCTGCCTGGCTCTGCTGCCTACACCCTAACCTTCTAGAGGAGATGACCCTAGATGGAGGTTCTCCCAACCCCTCACCTGGCACCCAATGAAGCCACATAGCCAAGGAGCCTCAGCTCATCCTTGTGTCCCAGTGCTCTCGGAAGCCAGGGGAGGAGTGCTTCTGGGCAGAAGGCTAGGGGCGCCACGGGCTTCTCCCTGCCCACAGCAGCAGGCAGTGCACCTTCCTCCATGTTGGAGAGGAGGCACACTCCATAAGGGAAACATGTAAACAGGAAGCAGGCCAAGGCAGGAAGGAGCGTTGCGACAGGAAATGCCAAGTTCCCCTCTCCTCGCTCTGCCCGAGGCCCACTTGTCTCCACCTGCCGTCCCAGCCCACACACACCTCACATCATCCCTAGCCTCGGGCCAGGTGTTTTCTGAGGCAGTGTCTGGCTCACACGTCCTTGGCTGGAGCTCAGCCCTCATTCCTGCGTCTGCAACCCCAGACCCGTAAGCTAGGCCGTCTGTCTGATGTTAATGACCCTGGACTTGGACAGCGTCTCCGAGAAGCCTTCAGTCAGTCCTCAGCTCCTGTGGGAGGGAGAGTGACTGGCCTCAGTTTGGAGTTCAGCAATGTTAGGGCATTCTCCACCCAGACCATCCTTCAGTCTCAGCAGCTCCTGCCCAGAGTATGTGTCTGTCATTCCTTACACGCAAGTCCACCAGCCAACCAGTCTGCCATCTCGCCCTTGTTAGCCATCTAAGAATCAATGATGTGACTTGGGGAAAGTTCTGGAAGGTTCCTCTCCCATCTGTCAGCTTCCTGTTCTGGGACTCCACTCCCCATGCCCCAGCATGGCGTCTCAGGTTGCCTTATCAAAAGCAAATCAGGTTTGGAAGGCACCAGCTTGGAGTTGCCTTGGTGGCTGTGTAAGCGGGCCTTGAATTCCTGACCCTCCCGCCTCTACCTCCCAGGATGCATGTTGTTCCCCAGGACTCAGATGAGGCATGCAAATGTGTTGCCATGGGGACGAGAATGAGGACAGGTGTGCTCCTCCTGGGCCAACACGGGTACACCCCTGCAGCTGTGACTGTCATCCTGGAAACCCTGTAGCTCTCCATCTTCCTGCCTCTCTTGGTCCTCAGAACAGCCTGGCCTCTCCCTTCCCCGTGAGACTTCCCATCCGTGAACACGCAAGGCAACAGTGACCACGCCACCCTGGAATTACTTGGTGCCAGGTGGCAGGCCATCCTTCCAGGTTATCGGTCCCCTGGGCGAGCAGGGAGAGCGCCTCTGCCAGTCCTCTGCCTTCCTCCCTTGGCTGGCTGTGGCCTGAGGATGCTCTGAGTGCCTGCACTCGACTGAGCTGGTGTCAAACAAAGGCGGTGAGCCGCCTGGACCTCCAGGCCGCCCTCTGTGTGTGCTGCTGAGACTTGCGTTTCCTTTCCATATACCTTGTCTTGCTAATACCATGTCGGAATTATTTCCTTAATTTCTAAAGCTGCATGTGCGGAAATGGCTTATACTTCCTGTTTTGATAAACTAATAGAACTTTACTGGGAACCTTGTTCCCAAGTTGGCTCTCTCCCCTGAGTTGGCCTGCTGGGGGATTAAAGAGATCTTTTAAAAACCGCCCAGCTTGACTGGACTTGTGACGAAACAAAGACTTGTATAGATTGCGTTGCCTGCGAATAGGAAACATAGTACCTTTGACAGTAAGGCTTACCGTGTGTTGCTCAGGATCAGTTATTCAAGATTCCTCTATGGAGGAAGTTGGGGTTAGATGCTGGGGGCGATCAGTGGCGAGATATCTGTAAGTTCCCTTCAAAGGGGCTCTTTTTGGCTGGAGGTGTACCGGCTTGAAAGTACTTCCTTGGACAAACTATTCTTTGTTTTAGGACAGATGAGTTTTGTTCTTGGATCTTCATATAAATTTGAGTAATCATTTTTTTTATTCTCAAGTCAGAAACAATAGCCAACTTTTCCCCCCTTCCATTTACATATGGTGGGTCAGCTTTAAATGGTCTGGATGTCTGGAGGAACCTGGGTGCATTTCCGTCGATGTATGCCCTTCCTGGACATGACTGGCCTGCACAGGTAGCTAGAGAGATTGTCTTAAGACCTCTAAATCCCCTGTGTGTTCTGTTTTTTGGTATTCAAGTTATTATTCAAAGATAACCTTCAGTGTCCTGAATGTAGGTGCTGGTGTGTCTCTGGGAGGAGCTGTGCTGGGTGACTTGCATGACACTCAGGACTGAGCACACCCTTTCCACCAGGCAAGGAGGGCAAGGAGGGGCATCTTCCTGTCTGCCTGGTGCGACACTGTCCCTGGTGAAGGCAACGTGATACTCTGTCTCGTCAGTGCCCATGAGCTGCTGGAACCGTAGCCAGAGCCAGCTCACTGTGGGACCGGATGTACTTTTAATCTCGCAGCTGCTAGCACCCGTCTCTGTCCTGCCCCGCCGCATCCCATTTATAGATGGCGGAACCAGAGAGCCAGCGGCTCGAGCCATGACTTTGGAGCCTGAGAGCAGCCTGCCTCAGGAAGCTGGAGTTGGCCTTTCCTTACAAGGCGTTACGGCTTCTGGGCTCCCAGAAGCGAATGGCTCAGAACAACTGAGCCCAGGCATCCAGAGTGGTGCGGGGGTACCTGGGATGGATATGATAAAGATGCAGGGAGTCCTAGATCTTTACAAAAGTAATGGTGTCTTGAGTCAGGAAGACTCCAAAGCGGGGAGGAAAACTCCCACGGGGGGGGGGGGGACACAAAAAGTTGAGTGAGAAATGCCGCCTGGCGCCTGACCTTTGTTCCTAGAAACACCCAGCCGTGTGCAGGGCGATCAGGGCCCTCCACCACACGCCACATAGACCCTCACTTTGCTGCCTGCTGCTGAGTGGTCCAGGTCACTTCCAAGGCCTGTGACTTCCAGCCATGCGGCTGTACTGGCTGCCGGCTCAGGGTGGGGTTAAAGTCGGCAGAGGGAAGAGCCTATTTAAGATGGAAAGGGACCGAAATCCATTTGTGCATTGATTGAAATTCCAGTCTGAGACCTGGGCTCTTAGGATTCTCCTGATTCCCACAGGGAGCAGGACTCAGGGCCAGAGGGAGGAGTGAAGAAGCATTTCCTAGGATGGAGAGCTTGGGGGTCCCTTAGCCCGGGACTCCACTGAGCCTGGAGGAGGTTCTTCCGCTCCGGCGATGGGCCCACTCACTGATGAGATCACTGTGTTAGCACTGGTACAGCCATTGGAGGGCCTGTTCCTCTATCAGCTGTTCCTCTGGGTTCCTTACACACCATGTCTGTGTGCAGTTTGGACTTGGAAATGGTGTGAGAAGGGCTGTAGCCATTTTCAAGACAAGGTTTCTCTGTGTAGCCCTGGCTGTCCTGTAGACCAGCCTCGCCTGCCTGCCTGCCTGCCTGCCTGCCCGCCTGCCTCTGCCTCCTGAGTGCTGGGATTAAAGGCGTGTGCCACCACCGCCCGGCAGCTGTGGCCATTCTTATCTGTGTCCCTGACTGGCTCCAGATCCACACTCCACACTTAGGGTGTCAGGGATAGTGGGAGGGCAGCTGTCATTTAGAGGTGACCTATTTGGATGGCAATCCCTGTCTGTCACCTGTTGTCCCTCTTCCCACGGCACCTATGAAGCTATCTCCAGTTCCCTCCCCCTCAGCCTTAGCTGGCATCTTCACCATGTGCTACCTGGCTTTCGGAGGGCTATGGAGCTCTACTCTCCTCCTGGCTGCCCACAGAGTCTGCTCCCGGGAACCGTTTGCAGGAATTATCCCCCCTTACGACTCCCATGGTCACAGCCAGCCTCCTGCATGTCCTTTATTGAAGCTGCGCGCAGCTGTGTCTCATGGCTCCAGAGTTTTGGCATTACTTCCACGTCACGGGGGCTCCACAATACAGCACATGCCCAGAGCTGACGATGAGTGGACATTAGTGTCCCCTCCCCTCCTCTGACATCCACGTCCAGTCTTCTGCCTTTGACCAGCACACTAGATGGGGTTCCGTGTCCAGGACGGCAGGTGATGGGATGACTAGTGTGACTTCTTCAGGAAGGAGTGGATGATTGACATCTCTAGTCCTTGTTGAGTTTGGAAGAGAGGCTCGCAGACAGATTCTGGTAAGGCAGTCAGTCTCCCTAGGGTGAGCACATGAGCATGTCTGGGTGGTCCTTGTTCCTGGATCAGTCTCCAGCTACCCTCTTCCTCAAAACATGTACCAGAATTTAAATGATGTGGATCTAGGCATCCACTTGTTTATTTAAGCAGTCTCTTCTACTTACCCACACATGAAGGCAGGGACTATGTCCAATGTGTCTCCCCCTTACACCAGAGCCCAGCACGGTACGTAGTTCAAAGTAAGTGGTTGGTGAAGGATGAGAGAATGGGTGGTCTGTGTGAGTGAGCAACTCGGGGAGCGAGGGTGCATAAGTGTGAGTGAGGAATAAGTGTGAATGGGTTTGTGATTGCATATGAGTGTGCATGAGCGTGCAAGTATGTGAGTCCATGAGTGGGTGAGTGAGTGAGTGAGTGAGTAAGTGAGTGGGTGAGTGAGTGACCTTGTCAAGGGAAAGATGATGATTGGTTCCAGTCACTCTTGCAGCATCCAAACAATTTGCAAGATACTCTCTCACTGAACAGCCAGGCCACAACACAGGCTCCTTACTGGTCCTGGAATCTCAAAAGAGGGACAACTTCAGAGTAGACATAAACACATGAGGTTGGTGTCTCAGGGATGGAGGTCTTGTGACCATTTTTGTGTGACTACCACCCTGAGTCATTATCACCCTGGGATTGAGAATGTCCACTAAGCAGTCTGCCTGGCTCACCTGAATGGAAATGTGCCGTCCACAGCACATGGTGAGCTTTGTGGTGATATCTTTCTTGCACAAATAAAGCCTGTCTGGGGGGTCAGAGGACGGAGCTTGCCATTAGCTAACCATAGAGGTCTGGAGGGCTGTACAGACAGACAGGAAAATGAACCAGGATAATCTGAAGGACTGGACCACCTTGTCTTGTCAAGGTTTAGATATCACCACAAGCATAGTATGGGAACCCCACCCTAGGGACTTCATCTTAGCCGCTAATTGGCCTGGCGCTCCTGGGACCCTCATTTTAACCCGTGATTTTGTAAAATGGGAAATGTAAAGTGCTTGAAGAGGACTATAATATATGGGGAAACTCACTCTTGTGAAGATGACGATGAAGTCCAGGATGGTCTCCATACCTGAGGCAGCGAGCAGGCTCCCA